TGAGAAGGAGTCCTTCATTAACTATAGCCAAGGATTATGGATTTGTTTACTATAAACCCATGATCAAAGTAAAGTTAGGATTGTTTACGCTTAAAGTGGACAATATCATACTATTGTGGAGAGTGGTGATTCTTAATAGTATATATATCTTTAAAAGAAAAGGAAATACTTATTCAATTTTTTTTTTTTTTAAATTTATTTCAACGCCATTGAACTAATGTAAATGTGGGGGTGGGAACTCGAGCAGGATGACACATTGACGGGCGATGTTGCCTCAGTCGATATCGCAACGAACGAGAATTTACAAAATCTGGTGAGGACGGGACAGGCTCTACTGAATAACAACGTTTCGAGGGTGAATTTAGAGACGGGAAAATTTGAAGCAGTTGAAGGAGAAGGTACCAACCAAGATGCACTTGCTCGTTTTGCCCGCTTACTTTGTGAAGAAAGAAACCTGAGACTAGGAGAGTAAGCACTTAGGATCCTTCATATGGGTATCTACTGCGAGTGCTGTGCTTTACCCTTTATGTGTGTGCCTCACAAGTGTTTTCATTTCAAATAATAATAATAATTGTTTTTTACCTTCTTGTGTCTGTGTATGTGTTGTAAATGTAGAGTGGAAATAAGTGAGTGAAACATTTTATACTATGAATGAGTATGTTTTAATAATCACAAACACTTTACTTTAATTTGGATTTTATTCATTTAACTATTTTTCTTGGTTCTTCAATTCTGGATTTTTCCAAGGTCCAATTAACAAGAAGAATATGTATATTTAATCCTTAGCTTTTGAATTATCATTTAATTTCAAATAATATCTGCTAGATTGAATGACGCAATGACTTCTATGGGTTACAACTTCGTATATATGTAGGAGATGTGTACAAGGAAGATTACCTGTGTTGGCCTTGATCCACGACAACAAGGGAGAGGCAATTCCAAGAAAAGAGAATTCTCCTACTATGTTTAGATATAACCTTCTACGTTTAACACCCCTCTCAATCTAGACGTTGTACTACTACTAAGTTCAGATTGTGTCGAAAACTGCTAAAAGGAGTTGGCAGTGGTTTTGTCATGATATCGACGAGTTGATCCTTGGAAGATACGAGCTGCACATCAAGCTGATGAATCGATACTCGTTCACGAATGAAGTGATAATCAACATCAACATGCTTCTTTCGTCGATGAAAGATTGGATTGGCGGACAAATAGGTGGCACCAATGTTGTGACACCATAGGCTAGGTGCTTGCGCTTACGAAATCCCGAGCTCATACAAGAGGACTTGGATCTAGATTAATTTGGCAATGGCATCAACAACTGCCTTGTATTTAGCCCCCGTACTAGAATAGGAAACTGAAGATTGTTTCCTTGAACTCCAGGAGATAAGATTGCCACCAAAGAAGATCACATAGCCTACAGTGATTAGATGGTCATTAGGATTCCCGGCCCAATCAGCATCCGAGAAGACACTAAGCAAATTAGTGTCGAACTTTGTAAAACACTAGCCTATATCAATAGTGTTATGTAGACAATGGAGAATCCTTTTGACCGCCACCCAATGTACAGAAGTCGGGGAGGACATGAACTGGCACACTCTGTTGACACAGAAGGAGATATCAAGACGTGTTAGGGACAAATATTGAAGAACACCAACGATACTCCGATAGTGAGTAGTATCCTCAGGCAAGAGCTTTTTACCAGGTGTTGCGCGCTCTGACCAGCGGTCGAGGACTCACTAGACGTTGCGCACTCCGAGGCGAGCCAAGAGACTGGTCCCCAAGATCAGAGCCCAGAGAATCTGGGTGGAGCCTAGGCGATGTGGAAATAGCATTTGTTGGTGGAGGATCCGAGGCCCCAATCTTAGCGAAACAACCGATGCTGATTCGCGGTAGCGACGCGAAGGATTGCAGCGGCAATCTCAAAGTTGATGTGGGCATCGGATTTTCTACATCCAAAGAGTTAGTAGGTACAAATATATGCATATGATCATGCTCCAAATTAGTACTGTTGTTACCCAAATGCAAGGTGCGCAAATCGGGGGCATTATGCGTTGGCTACAAGGTTGGGGAAGAACTAGGTGGGGCTCTCTTGAACCGAAAAATATTCTCATCAAATATGACGTCTCTAGAAATATAAACACGACCAGAATCGGTGTTAAGGCACTAGTACCTTTTATGTAAAGAACGGTAGTCTAGAAAGACACATTCCTTGGATCAAAAAGAGAGCTTGTTACAAGGGTGAAGATGAGGCCAACAAGCACACCCAAAAACTTTTAATAAGGAGTAATTTGGTGGGGGTATGAAAAAGATGCTCTAGGGGGCATTTGTAGTCGATAACACGAGTAAGAAGATGATTGATGAGATATGTGGCTGTAAGAAGTGCGTCATCCCAAAATTTAATAGTTACATTAGCATGAGCTAGAAGGGCTAGGCCAATTTCAACACTATGACAGTGCTTGCATTCAACAGACCCATTTTGTTGATGCGTGTGAGGGCACGAAACACGATAAGCAATTCCAAGGGAACGAAAAAATGTGTTATGAGTTTTCTGATATTCTTCACCCTAATCAGATTGGACATACTTGATTTTAGTATCCTGGTGGCGCTCAACATGAGCTTGGAACTGCAAAATATACGAGGAGCTTATGTACGATCATGCATCAAATAAATCCACGAAAATTTATTGAAATCATCAATGAAGCTGATATAATATTTAAAGCCCCCAACAAATAGAAAGAACATCAGTAAAAATCAGTTCCAAAGAGGACGAAGAAAGTGAAAGAACTAGTGTATGGTAACTGATAACTTTTTGTTGACGGACACGTATTACAAACTAGCAAAGGTGACTCACTAGCACATGAAATATTATTGAGACGCCAAATTGACTTCACTACTTGAGATGAAGAATGTCCCAGACGTGCATGTCATTGGGCATGTCTAGTAGATCTGCTCACTAAGGCGTGCTTGAGATCATTGACATCAGATGATTTGATAAGATAGAGACCAGACTCACACCTCCCGTCCAGAAAGACTTTTCCTCGACCATCAATCTTTAATATAAAAATGTCACGGATGATATAAAAAAAATGTTTGGAAATTTCAGGCACATGCAAAATATTACGCAATGTAAGAGGACAAGCAACAATATTAATTATATAATGACCAGTATGCAAAATCCGCAAACCAAACCTACTCCATTGCCGACTTGAACTTATTCACCTCCATGATAGCATTCAGGCACAATGAGACGATCCAAGTCACTAGTGATATGATCAGTGACGTCTATATCGCTGTACCAATTTGGATCAAACTTGTAGGAGGAAGTAGTTGCTAGTGCCGCAGAATGAAGTTAATCTTGATAGGACTCATCCATCTTATACCAGCAACGAGGAGATACGTGATCACGTCATCATCCTGCAAGGCAGAGGCGTCAGCGGCCAGCTTAATGGTAAACCCTTTGATCTTGCGAAAATAATCTGCAGCAAACAATCGCATTTTTTGTTATATATGTTTTGATGATATATTTTGGGAATGATTTTCACCATTCATACCGACATTATCTAAATTTAATTATTGAAATGTATGCATTTAAGTAAAATTATGGAGTCATTTTAAATTCCACTTGAATAGTAGTAGTTTAAACCTCAGATTCTTAATTTAAAAAAAAAAAAAAAAAAAAAAATTAATTAATTAATTTAAATCTTTTAATTTAATTTTGTAAAGAAAAGGAGAAAATTGGAAGGGGGCAAAAAGAATAATAGTAAGGAAGGGAAGAAAATAAGGAGAGGAGAGAGGAGAGAGAGTGAGAGGCAAAAGGGATATTACAATAAATGGAATGAAAAACTCTGCACGCAATTGCTCACCAACACACTGTCACCCCTTACTTCTGTGGGTCCTACTTTACACACGAGCGCATGAATCCACTAGACGAGATCATATAGTATTTCTAAGCCTGACTATGGGCTAGCACGTGCTCATGCTGCCGAAAATCAACCGAAGAAAAAAAGCGCGTACCATATCATGGTGTACACATCCGTAGGGAGATATCTCATACTCGTAACATACATGACATTATCATACATGGCTCAAAGAGGCCTCATAGGCATAATATGAAGATGGTGCACTCACATTTATAATACTCATATCAGGACAACATCTATCATAACAATGACACATAAAATGGGTAAAAAAAGTGTCATTCATACCTTCCTAAAATCATTCCACCAAATCCAAAAATGTAAAGCTGGAAATATCCTTGGTGTTAGCCTAATCCTATTCCTCCAAATTTAACTCTACCCACAAAGTTCCACTACATCGTATTTAAAATATATATTGATTTACCTAATTATATTAACTAACCTAAATTTTGCTCCAATTATTTAAAATCAACAAAATGATAGCTATACTGACTTCAAAACGCTCTCAATGGCATCAAAAGCGAGTCCGAGAGGATCCCGGCCAAAGGTAAAGGGAGGGCAAAGCAAAGTCAAGTTGTCGAGTCGAGTTAATGGCATGCGCACAGGTCGTGGTCTAGGTCTAGATCAGGTCCGGTTGTTAGCTATAGAACATAAAGTTTAAATATGCATCTCATGTTTCTTAATTTCTTAAAAGTGATAAAAAAAATTAATAGGTAAGATTGAGTGGATATTGGAGGGTGGGAGACTTATTCTAATTTCTCAAAAATTGAACTAAATTTGTAACTTAATCTGAAAAATAAATAATAAAAATGGGATTTTGACGGTGGAGAAAAAAAGATTGGAATAAAATTAACATAAAAAAAGTAAGATTAGTAGCTACTTTTGAGGAGAAAGGGGAGAGGGGTAATTTGGGAATTAAATAAAATATAAGTGTGTGAAACTCCAAGATCGGATCCACCGCCCTTGTCGACCTTTCCAAACCCTTCAGGTGAGTTTTCTGGACCTTTGTTGATTTCAGATTTCATTTCATTTGGTTTTAATTTCTTGAATAATGCATTTTGTTTGTTGATTGAAAGCAAGGCAATGTCATCCTCCAACTCCCCCTGCGCAGCCTGCAAATTCCTCCGCCGAAAATGCACGCAAGAGTGCGTATTCGCCCCCTATTTCCCACCCGATCAGCCCCAGAAATTCGCCAACGTGCACAAGGTATTCGGTGCGAGCAATGTGACAAAGCTATTGAACGAATTGAACGCCACACAGCGCGAGGACGCAGTGAACTCATTAGCCTACGAGGCGGAGTTTCGTTTGCGTGACCCTGTGTACGGATGCGTAGGCCTTATCTCAGTCCTACAACACAAGCTCAAACAAATGCAAACCGATCTTTACAACGCCAAAAAGGAGCTCTCTACTTACATTGGCTCTCAAGCTATGCTCCCAATTCTCCAGCCTCCCATTGCCGGAAACCACCCTTCCTCCTCCTCCGCCGCTCTCCTTCCCTACAACATGTTCCCCATGCTTGGAATCCCGAATTCCGGTGCCGCTCCCTCATCATCCCACCAGATGCTCATTCGTGACACGCCTCAACACCAGCAGACCCAGACCCAGACCCAGACCCAGACCCAGACCCAGACCCAGAATCAGTTGTTTGAGGCGCAGCAGTTGGCGGCTGCGGTGGCTGCCAGAGAACAGCAGGAGATGTTTAGGGCTTACGAGCAGAAACAAACCCAACATCATTCGCAACGCCAACAGGAGCTGATGAGGTTCGATGGGTTCGACCCAGCTGGGAACCAAATCAATTCCTCAGCGTCTAATTTAACATTGGGGACGTTTGTTGATAATAGCTACCAAATTGAAGCACAACCGCTTCAGGTGCAGCTGTTTCTCCAGCCCCAACAGACACTGGTTGAGCAACACCCGCAAACACACAAGCCTGAACCCACCGCGGAGGATGGTAGGAATATGAACATTGGCCCATCGTGTTAATTTTTTTTTTTTTTTTTGAATCTCAAATTAATTTTGTTTTTCTCTCTCTCTCTCTCGGTATTGATTTTATGAGCATTTGATTAATGAGATATGGTCGTTTGTTTGGTGACAATAAGGATGATTAAGACAGCTCTTTGATTTTAATTTTAAAAATGGGATCCAATTTGATGTGTAATTCATAATATTAACTATAATTGGCATGCATTTTAATTTGTAAGAGAGATTTCCGTTTGTATTACTAAATTAAACCCTTTATTCCCCCTTCTTTCTCCCTAAAACAACCTTAAATTTGGTGTTTTTTAATATATGTAATGTAATGTGATTGTACCATATTGCCCTCCATTCAATGTAAATTTAATTCACTCAATAAATTACCCACCAACTTTTTACGTGTAAATTTTTCCTTGGTAATTTATGTGTATATTTTTGGCATGATGGAGAGCTAGCATTATATTGAGATGAGAATGAGAATGAAAATGAAAGCATTCGCTATAAAAGGGGATTAGAGGGTTTCATTTGGCATCAAGAATATGAGTTAAAGGATCACTAGAACTCGATTAATAAGCAATTCGTTTTTTAGTTTTAGGGTCTTGATTTTGTTCAAAAATTAGAGTCCAAATCACTTCTACATGTTCATATACCAAAAGTTTCCTTTTAAGGCTTGAGGGGTGAAAGTGGCTGGAATACTTTCTCTCAATTCAAGTTTTTGATATTCATATTTGGGGAGGGGAAAATTCAATTAGAGGATTATGCCCATTCGGTCTCTCGGAGTTCAACGACCAAATTTGTAGAAGATCCTTTCAGCTTTGTGGTGATAAAATAGAACTTTTTCATTGAGGAATCGAGAGCCAAGGAGGTCTAGAACCCTCTATTCAATAAGAAGGAACTCTACCTGAAGATTGACCAGAAATTAGTGACCTTTGATTCTTAAATTGAAACATCACACAAAGAATCGTCACTTCAAAACTATCTTGTGAGATTAAGGGGAAGGAAATACGGATTTTTGTTAAAATGACTCAGAGGTCTTTCCTTAATTTTTTCTTAAGGTCACTCATAAGAATCACTTGAAATTGAACTAGAACCTTAAGATAACTATAAAAAAAAATAATAATAAAAATAGAAGAATTAGGACAAGAACTAAGAGTTAGGGATATATACGATACGTTTTGCTTGAAAAATATAATCGTTAAAATTAACCCGTTAAATGACCTCTCGTGTACATGAAATTTTAATGGATGACCTAATGTTATAAACAAAGATGTATGTAAAGTTTGATGAACATAGTAGCATGTTTAGGGCTTATATCAAGGATATGGGTAAAAGGACCGATCCCTACTATGTCCAAATATTGATTCATTGTCTAAATGAACTCCAGGTGACTTGAAATTTACATGATGAGGCCTATTTATAAAGATATAAATGATCACGCATGATTTCAAAGCATTTGAAACTTGTTTAGACATAAACCATGATTAAGATGGAAAATAACGAAAATACCTCATGAACCTTTTATGACCATTCATTGTTTTTATGAGCTTTATTTGAAATATACTATTATGTTTGACACTTATTCATGATATTGAGAAAGACTTATTTATGAAATTATGATAGGTTTACATGTTATGACCTATATGCTTTCATTAGGGCTTATGAATCTCATTTTACAACTTGCGTCTAGGTCGTGCCTTTAAGTCTTAAGAAGGACCCTTACCGCTAGAATCTTATTAGGGCACTACAGTTAGTGTAGTTTATATGTTGGCCCTAGTCAGTACGTTTTTAATAGATCTTGCATCTCAGGACCGTGAGAGATCAGAGGTTTATACCTATGTGTATCTAGAGTTTGGTTTAGCTCGAGGAGCTAACCCTGAACATCCTGAAATAAGAAATGTGATTGAAACCGCCTAGATGCCCCTAAGAACCTAGTAAACTTCCACGATATCTAATCATGATTAAGGTAGCTTAACAAAACTCCAAAGTCACTTTGATTACTATTAAGTGTAAGGTCGGGACAGATTGGCGCCTCAATCCCATTAAACCAGTCTCAGGAGAGAGACTAAGAACTACACAAGTAGTTAATTCAAGACAAAAATTTCTATTAAATGTAGAAATGAGTCAACGCTAACGCCGCGACTTTGTAAACCAATCTCGGAGAGAGACTAGGGACTACACGGGTAGTTGTCCAGTTGAGAACCTCTATTGTAAGTAGAAACCGGTCGAGTCTCATAAACCTGCCTTGAGAGGGGTCAGGGGACTACAGAAGTAGAGAACATGAGGAACCACTATTTTGTGTAGAATAAACCAGCCTTGAGAGGGGGTGAGAGACTACATAAGTAGATAGGGTCACTATGGTATGTAGAAACGAGGGATTCGTAAACCCACCTTGATAGAGGACGAGGGACTACATGAGTAGACAACATAAAGAGACACTACTGTGTGCAAGTCCACCTTGATAGGGGACGCGAGACTACATGAGTAAATTGCTTATGGAGTATATTTTTATACTCACCCCTTCCCTTTTTCTTTTCATGTGTAAGATGTCGGTCAAGGTGGAGGAGTGTTCGAGAGCGCTACACGACCGCTGGTCATTCCAAAGCATCAGTCCATTTTTGTATTTGAGTCTCTCCTATTTCATTTTATAATTGTATCTCAAACCCTTTTCCTCATTTGTAATAAATTTGAACAATACCACCGAGTATTTAGATTTTAATTTTAGTGTTTAGTTTGTTTTTATTTCATTTAAATTTTATCAAATCTTCCTCTTTTATTTATTTCATCATCCGAGTTTTGAAACGTCATGTCATGGCAACACTAAAACTAGAAAAGAGGCGGACATAGCCTTTGTGAATAACATCTAGCTACCACATGTCCTTAAATTGGTGAGAGTTTGGACAACTCCAATACCCTTAAATTGTGAATCATACTTAAATGAATATTCCAAGTATAGAAGAAAAAACAATGACTGAATAATTACAAAACAAATGTTGACAAACATATGGAAAATTTTCATATTTGCACAAACTAAAGCTCACAATTTCTTTTATAATTAACTTAAGCTGCTGCTTGAAAGCTAAGAGAAGGTATAGAAGATTAGATATGGTTAGTCCATTTGATTCTGAAGAGAGGATTCTGTAACATAGCACCCACCAACGGTCAGAAACTTATACCAGGTCAGTAAAGCCCATTTTCCATTGCCTTGTTGGTGAATCCCAGAGAATTACACAGAAAGAAGAGGCGACTAAAGCTTTATCTCAACCAAAATTCCAGATTCTCTTGCATCAACGAAGACAATGTGGGAGAAACTCACTATTTCGTCTTTTTTACAAAATGAGTGGCCAACAGTTTCGACACAGTGAAGCCGTTAAACGAATCGACATCGAACAGTTCTTTAAGCTTCTCATCACAGATTATTCTCCTTTTGTCAGAAGGATCCTGAATGAACAATAAGAAAAAAATTCAGATGTTAAGTGATGCATCATCAAAACAACAAAATTTCCATGTTCACTAACAACAATTGTTTTGCCGCGTTCATTTAAGCACTCAAAGCTTTGTAGAACATGATCAATTAGTAAAAATGTTCAATTTAACTGTACTTTTTGGGTATGGAATGGAATATCAGTAAAATTAAGACAAATAGGCAGACAACTTTTTGAAATTTTCAAGTTTCAATCAACAACATAGCGTCAACAAAGTATATAGTCAGATATTCACGATCCAAAAGTTCAAACCTTTGAATTAGAGTAAATTTAATTATTTAACATATAACAAGGCAATATAAGGACATCACAAAGCACAAAGTTAGCCAGCCAGCCAGTGAAGCCTCCCCACATCACCTGATGCAATGAAATACCTAAAAGGCTAAATATCTAGAGACTGCCCTACTCAAAGACCATAAATATCAAATTCAAATAAGGAAAGATTCCTCAGCCAAGTATTGCCTATGACGTTATGATGACTACTAATACAAGTCCATGCAAAAGTACGAGAGAGAAAGTAGGGAGCAGAAGAGAGAAAGAGACAAATCTTATGAGCTCCAAGCCTACAATTGGTCTACTCTCTCTAGCCTCTTGTGATCACGATTTTTATTCATTCGAATTGGAACAACTTCTTGAAAGTTCCCTTAAGGAAGAGTGTTCCTCTTGTAACTTTTCATTCAACTATTAGAACTCTCCAAGTTCCAGTAATATGGAATTTTCATTCATAAAATGAAAAGGAACAAGAATAATTGAAATAATCTTTATAACTGGAAGTCCAAAAACTAGAACATTATTCCACTATAATAAGTTGCGTTTCTAAAAGTTCAAGCCATACTCAAAAGAAACAAGCAAAAAAGGGAGAAAAAACTGTCCGAGCTGAGGCATGTAAAACGATTTCACCAGAGAGAATACATATTCTAAAAAGTTTTTAAAAATAGATACAATTATATATAACAAATACATAGGAAACGGAAAATATAACTAAATAGCTTGAAAACTATTTCTAGGTAAGAACAATAAATTTTTGTGACAAATCACATTGGATTGGAGCGATAATGCATCATAAAAGAATGTGCAAGTCAAATGCAATAAGAAGCAACCAAGTTGATCACCGAAGTGAAAGCACCAGCCATGGATGATAGATGTATAGAGGCATATGATTTGAAGGCCTACAGAAATATTAAAATCAAGCATGTCCAAACTCTTGTCTTCAAAGACTCTCATTTTTGTTTCTAATTTCTCAAATAAGATACTAGCCGGTTATCCCTCAATTGATAAGAGCATTTAGTGTTGCTATACTATCAAAGAATCTTTGCGAAGGCCAATACCTGAAGATTGTTTTGCTTTATGTAATCCCACATTCTTTTCACTACTTCAGAGCGAGACAATGCATTCTCTCCTGTACCAAGAAATGTCACCAGAGCATCTGAAAGTTGAAGAGGAGCAAGGAAACCAGATTTTCCTTTCTTTTGCCGCTTCACCTCTCTCTCAGAGCCATCAGAATCTAGAAAAAAGAACGTTTATTAG